AAAAATATAAATTGTGTTTGACATTACAGACAAAAAGAATTAAATTAAGACAAAAAGACGTTACTGAAACAATAAGACTTTACTGCAGGCAAGAAGACCTTACTGAATACAAAAAGACGTTACTTCATGCAAAAAAAAAAAAAACTTACTGAAGACAAGAACACTTTACTAAATATAAGAAGACGTTATGTAGGCACGAGGACCTTACTGAAGACTAGAAGACGTTATGCATGCAAGAAAACGTTACTGTAGGCAAGATAACTCTCCTGGAGACAAGAAGACTTTACTAGAGACAAGAAGACTTAACTGGAGACAAGAAGAACTAGTTGTAGGCAAGAAGATGTAAATATCCGCTTTAATGTACTTCTGTAACATTTCTGAAGACTATGTTAAAGTTTGTGTTTAACTCAAAAAGCCTGACTCGTCACCTGGTGTCACGAATATCTAGAAGACCAACTGCATATGTAAATATTTTTATGTCGGTCATTGGGTCATATTACTATGATGCTCTCCCCCCCCCTCTCTTTTTCCCAAGCTCACTGGCCAGCTATCCAAAACACCTTTTCTAAATCATACCCTCCTTCCTTCACCAGCTTTTGCTCCATCTGGCTCGCGGGATCTTCGAAGAGCAGAGCAACCTTGAGAAGCTGGTCCAGAAAATCATGTTAGATGCCCAGGATCTCCTCAAGTGCGAGAGGTGCTACGTCTACCTGCTGGAGGACTCCTTCGAGAGGGTGAGTCACGTGGGATTGGGCTGGGGTCGTCGTGACTGGCTGGTTCGTGTAGTTGGCAGCGGCGTGTCTCGTTGTCGTGTCCGAGTTTTGGGCCGAGAGTTTAAATGTGCTTTACACGTTCGTTCGTCGTTCTCGTCTTTTGGTCGTGTTCTCTGAAAGTACAGCGCTAGTGTAGCTGCTGGAGATCAACACGTTCCTGTTTGCATGATGGGACTGTAGCTACGCGTCATTAAAACAGGTCGCTTTCAGCATGACATTTCATCATGTATTATTAAGAATGCAGCGTCTCATTATGTTTCTGTCTTTTTTTTTTTTTTAAAGACAAACGTGGAAGCTGTCGGGTAAAGTTTTGCTAAATCGGAAAACGAAACAGATTTCTTTTTTTTTTTTTTTTGCCACGCGAATGACAGTGAGAGATGGGCCCTTGAAGACCGCCGGACCGATTTTCCCCGGACATTGCAATCTTATCTGGACCTGTCAATAACTTAACCTTGGGAGTAGTTTTTTTTTAAACGGCACAGTTTTTTTTTAAATTCATTTTTAATGCAGAGGCGATCTGTGCTAATGTCTCCCTCCTTCTCCCTCCACGCCTATACAGACACATAGGCTAACGCGTGCACAGACACATACAGACACATACAGACACATACAGACGCATACAGACGCATACAGACGCATACAGACACATACAGACACATACAGACACACACAGACACACACAGACACATACAGACACATACAGACACATACAGACACATACAGACACATACAGACATACACAGACACATACAGACACATACAGACACATACAGACAC